TACAAATAGTTTACCTTCTTACATAGTAGTTAAATTCATATAGTATTTGGTTATATCAACAGCAGTTGCAGCAATTCGATATACCCAGCGCAGGCCCACTTCAATGGGTACGAGGTATAATTAAGTAGCAGCGCGAGCGGCAAAAAAATAAAGAAGACAGAATTTAATAGTTTTCAATTAGGAATCGTTTGCAGCCTTTGCTGCTGCGCCCTTCCTTTTTTTTATGGCACACACTTGATGTCGCATCAGCAGCAGGAGCAGCAGTAGCAGGAGCAGGAGCAGGAGCAGGAGCAGTAGCAGTAGCTGTCAGTTTTCTCGGCTCTGTAGAAGTGTCGAGCAAATGAAGTCACGGACCTCGTCGACTCGCCGCCCCCCAGATCGAGTTATTTGTTTGGCGCTGTTTGTGTTGTTTCCTTTTGCTGTTGCCTTGCGTGTTTTTAATTCAACGTAAATTTTATTTTATTTTAATTTCGCTGCAATTCTTTTAATACACGCAGAGAGACAGAGAGAGAGAGAGGCGAGAGAGAGAGAGAGAGCGAGAGACAAAGTGCCCTTCCTTTCCTTCCGCTCTGCCATTTTTATGAACATCGAGCACAGAGCGTAGCGTCGCGTCGGCTTTTATGAAAATGACACGTTGTGCATTTGCTTACGTGACTCTCATTTAGCCGTTGACTTTTCTTTTATTTTTCTCCTCATTTCCCGCTATTTTTGTTGTTGTTGCTGCTCTTTTTTTTTTTTTTTGAAGTACTCGTAATTATTGCACACATTGCTTTAATTAAACATACTTTGGCAGCGCTGCAAAGTAAACTTTGAGTCTATTACGGCTGCGCAACTTATTGATAATATTTTTATATATTTGAGATAGAAGAATGAAGAGATTGAATTTAGAGTTACCATTAATAATATATTACATTATATTGGAAATTGCCACTGACAGAATATACTTATATTTTCTGACTGATTTGTTTTTCAGTTAAGCTTTTACCTACAGATAAATATATACATTATACACATACAGGTACATACTTATATAGTATTGCTTAAAACTGAGTTTCCTACCACTTATAGAGCAAAATTGAACTAAATTCAATACGAAGCAGAGAGAAAGAGAGAGAGAGAGAGACAGATTCTCAACTGTTTCCATCAAATTCTGTTACCGTTAATACAATCAATGCAAGGGCGCAAACAACTCAAGACAGTTATTTAAATAGCTTTGCAGTCAGAGAGCTGGGCAGATGGGTAGGCGGTGCGGCTAAATGAACGACTAGCTGGCACTACATACATACATATACATATATATGTATAGAGAACGGTGTTTTTGCTGCGACCTTCCGTCCGGAAGTTATTGAGCACGGCAAAGGCGCGACCTAAAACATTACAACAACAACAACGACGACGACGACTTGGAGTCGATGGCAAYGTTTGGCGCTGCTGCCACCTGCCTTTACCATTAGTTGGGCTGCAAAATTTTGGTTCGATGAATTTATTACTTTTGATGTTCAAACACGAAAACTGCTGCAGGCCATAAAACAAGCAAAGAGCGCTGAAACTTAAGGACAAGCCAGGCCAGGCCAGACCAGACCAGGCCAGGGCAAGCCAAGCCAAGTCAAGCCAAGGAGTATCGCAGGCACCCAGTCCGGGCAGCTAGGAACAGCAAATGCTATTAAAAGTTTACATGTCTCAATAGAGTGTTAAGAGATTAGTTGGCATAAAATATTTGGAGAATTCCAGCCAAAAGGCTGTTGGCCTGGTTGAAATCCTAGGCGCAAGCTGCGAGGTAGGGCGATAGCAGGAAGGGCGATAGGAAGTAATTCGGCGAGTCGAACTATATAAAGGAAATGCAGCGGCCAGAAATGCTGGATACGGAAATATTTAAAGTCAAATTAAAAAAAAAAATAAAA